CCCTCAGGATTTATCCTGTAACCCTGTACTGCACTTTGTAGATCCTTTGTCAGTGTCAGCCATGTGGATGAGTTACAGCCATTGCTTCTTTTTTTCGAATATATTGCAGTACTCCTTTCAGGGTTGGTTTGGCAGTCATGAATTTCTTTAGTTGTCCTTTTTCATGAATTTATTTTACTTCTCCATTAATTTTGAGAGAGTTTTGCAGGGTATATCAATCTGGTTTGGACGTTGTTTTCTTTTAGAAGTTGAAATATTTGACTCCATTCTCTTCTTGACTTGATGGTTTGTGTAAAGAAATCTGTTTTGCTTTTGATGGGCTTTCCTTTAAATGTGATTTGCTTATTTTCTCTAACAAATTTTAGTATTTTGTGCTTGGGCTGAATTTCTGGAATCTTTATCCTTATATTTCTGGGTGTTGATTTACTTTGGATGATGCTTTTGGAGTTCTATATTCCTAACTGAACTGCATGTTATACACTTTGCCTATGTTTGTCAAGTTTTCTGCTATTCTATAAATATTCTTTTTATGTCATTTTCATTGACTTCTTCCTTTTCATTGAAACTTATTAGTTTTATGGTTTTCATCTTTCATTTCATTTCATCATTCATCTTTCATTCAGTTATTGCCAGCTCTTCACAGAATTTTTATTTCATGAAAAATCTCTTTGATTCTGTTTCATGTATTCTATTTCTTTCCTATAATGCTTATGGAAGGTTTTCATCATTTTTGTATGCTCCTTTACTTTGTTTTATCAATGTCCTCTTTATTTTATTTCATTTTATTTTATTTTATTTTATTTTATTTTATTTTATTTTATATTTTCGGCAGATCTGGTGATTGAACTCAGACCCTTGCGCTTGCCAGGCAAGTGCTTTCTCAACTGAGCCATCTCCCCAGCCCCACAATGTCCTCTTTAGATACACTCAGCAATTCTTTCATTATAGGTATTATTTCTTTTTTTACCTGAGGGATTATTTCTGATCTGATTTTCTCTATACCCATCTGGAGTTGTTTCTTCATTTCACTTGCAACCATTTCAGAAATTTCAGGTGTGTGACCTTCAGTTTCTTCTAGTCTCATGTCCCCTGGATTTGTTCTGGGTCAGCTTGTGACCTAAGATTGCATTTTGCTCTCTTGCCTTATCATTTTCTTTTTCAGAAAGACCTGTTTATTTTCATTTCTCTCATATTGTTTGTGAAATTTTGGTAGTTTATAGCTGTACCACTACTAGCAGAGCCCCTAAAACAAGTCAGTTTTTTAGGGATATTTTCTGTGTGTCAGAAATTCTTGGTTGGTGTCTGTTCCATGACACTACTTTCTCTATTGAATGAGAGAGGGGTATGGGTTTCTATTTGGCACTGTTCTCTGTCCTTTGGTATAGAGACTTGTTGGATAATAATAATATTATTATCCAAGGAAGAAAATGTGCTTAAGATAGATATATCCTAATTATGGTATTATAATTAGCAATAATTATTATAGCAAGTGAAATTTAGAAATTGACAAAACTTGATAACTAATGGTTTCATACTTTAAACCATAGGAGCAAACACTATAGTTATTTAAAAAGCAGATTATACATTGGTAATTTGTATGTAAGCTACTTGCCCTGTGTTTTGTCTGAGCAACTCCCTACTAAGTATCTTGAGTCCTCCAGGCAGACCAGTTCACAAGGATTTCTTGCAGTCATCTTAGCACCATGAGTCAGGGGTTCTCCAGGTAGAGCAGATCACCTGAGTTATACCCCACAATTGCCATGCAATGGTTCTCAGGTCCTCGGGGCTCAGAGGTTCATCAGAGTTCAACCATGGCACTTCTGGTGAGTCTAGGCTCCTCAAGGCTGAGAAGTTCACCTGGGTTTTGTCCCACTATTTCCACGTGGTGAGTCTGAAGTCCTGCAATTAATATATTCTTTGCTTCATGTTCCCATAGTAAATGAATAGTGTTGCAGTTTGTATGAGCAAGGAGGCAGTGCTTCAGCAACTTCTAGTTGAACTCTGATTCTAACACTAAGGCAAAAAGAAGATTATGGAGTATATACCTGTGTAATTCACTAAGATATGACATGTTCCTTTATGGCTTATATATTACAATAGACTTTTTTTAACTCTGCAATTCAGCAAAAGCTTGTCTCATTTTCTTAATGAAAGCATCCATCTCTCCTTTAACTACAAGTCAATAAATGCAAGATTCTAAGGTCAATTAAGACTCAGGACATATGAGAACTTGTACTGTAACGTCATGTACCTCGGTAGTGTCCCAAATTTTCTGATCAAAAAGATTATGGGGCCAAAGAGGAAAGTGATCGATGACGTAGAGTGTGCCTAAGGAGAGTCACATGGGGAGAAGACACTCTCTCAGGCTTTCACAGAGAGCACATTGGCCAAGCAATGGCCGTGACTCATCCACATGGCTGCACTGATGAAGGTTCTACAATCTGAGGTACAGGATCTCAGGACAAATCCTGAGGGCATTTCACTGACCTTCTCAGACCAAAAAGCTACAACTCTTGTTGCATAGGTCCTGCTTTACCTTGGTCTTAACCATCCAGTAGAAAAGTATGAAGTCGAAATATAAGAAATAAAGCCATGCTGTTGGGTTGAGCTGTGGGGGACTCAGGTCAATAATTTCTGACATTGCCAGTTAAATATAAGACCCAATGCTATTATGGGCTACTGGACTCTTTTAGAATATTTTGCTGAGTTTACACACCTATAATATTCAATAACGGAACTTAGAAAAAATGGGGTATACCGATGAATGTCCATTTTGTATCTGTGTATTCAAAGAGGTTGGGATAGATATATAGTTGCATTCTCTTAATGAATAGAATGATTTGTTCTAATGGTGTTTGTAAATGGGATCACAAGTCCGCATCTTGTACAGCAATTAACCACTAAGAAGAATATATGCAGTGTATTATTTGTTGAAACTGTCCTTCCAATATGATTTGAAACTGTCTCATTGCTATCTGTTTGTCAATAAAACTTTGAAAAAAAAATAAAATAAATGCAAGATATGCTGTGAAATTCTGAAAGTATTTTACAAGTTTTTCAATAGTGGGGACTGGGAAAAGAGATCAATGACTTAAGTAACTGCCTGGCAAATAAAACTTTTTCAATACTGTACTTTTTTCCCCTGTTACAATCCATTATTTAAGTAGTATTTCACTGGCACTACCTTCTCCTTTATGTTCTCAAAATCTTCTCATTTGACTAATACAGTATAAGACTGCAAATTAAAAATGAATCCTGATGAATCTCTGCTAGGTCTAGGTAACTTCCAGCTCCATTCTCCTTGATTTTCCAGGCTACCTTACAGTCCCTCAGTTCCTAACTTTTTTTTGTATAATCACCTTTCATAGAAATATGAAACCATTATGCATTGTTTAGTTATGTAGTAAAATAGAGTCAACTTAAGGAAACGGCTCAACATAGCCTATGCAAAGACACTAAACCCAGACTTGAACATTGAAAATGTAAAACTACCCCTTTTCTCTTATCAATCACAGAATGGTGAAGGGATTACATATACAAAGTGATTATACTTTATGGGGCAATAGTTTATGCCCATTGCCTTCCTTCTGACTGTCTCTTTGGAGGATGGACTGTGACTTCATGTGATTTGTAGGATGTAATTTTAGCATAATTAGAATCTAATAATAAAAATTATATTTTCTTTGTATTAAAGATATTATATTTTATTCACATTAAAACCATCATGAGGCTGTTCCAATGCTCTGCAGTATAGTCTCTACTTTGTATTCAAGAGGCACAGTGCATTTGTTCTTTAGCAATGGAAAAGAAAATAAAATTATCAATGGCTGGAAAATTGGCCAGTAGAAAAATAGGCGTATATGTGCTTAGTGTAGATGAGGCCTTTGGTTCAGTCCATAGCCCCAAAATATAAAATGAGTAGAATAAATTTTCAAAGGAAAAATGAAGTAATTCCTTCTGAAAAACAAAAACCAGACAGACAATAGGTAGGCTGTTCCACAAGATGAGAACACAAAGGAAAAAAAAAATGAGGGCCAGCAAAATAGCTCAACTAGGCCAGTCAAATAGCTCAGCAGATTCAAGTGCCTGAAAGCAGGCACAGGGGCCTGAGTGTTTGATTCCTGGGCCTACTGTGCCGGCTCCTCCCCAAAGCACACCTAGAAAGCAATTGAGACTGGGCATGGTGGTGCATACCTATAATTCTAGCTCTTGGGAGGCTGTAAATGGGCAGATCACTATGAGTCTGTTGTAGTAGTGAGACCCTAAACACCTTATAGACCCTTCCCCCCACAAAAGAGGAAAGATGTGAATTTACTTTTGTATTCATTAGATACCATCCAATTCTGTCTTTTTTGTCCTTTTGTTATACTGATATGGTTCCTATGGATACATACAACCCTAGACCACAAAAGCTACATTGACCATGAATAAGCAAAACAGTTATGGTCAGATGTGAAGCAAGAAGAAGATGGTCAGAGCAGGAGATAGTCAACACTCTTGAATATACCTTCTATCTCAAAATTTAAGTATTGCTTAGCTTTGACCTATGTAGTATCCTCATCACTATACCATTGAAATAAAACACTTCCTATAGGAAGAACTTCTCATTTTGTGATTTTCTTTTCTTATTATTATTATCATCCCAAAGAAACCATATTTAAACTAATAATAAACCCTTATAGATTGAAGAAAGTAAATGTTATTCTTTTTTCATAATTTTGAGAAATAGACATCATAAACCAAGTTACTTGTATAAGAAAAATGTACAGAATTGAAAAATGTTGATAATGACTACTTACTTTCTTGGAGATTTGCTTCCATTATAACTAGAGAATCTTAGTTCCCCAACACTCTAAGTTTGTGAATGTTGTCTCATGGTTTACTGCTCATTTATAAGCTTTATAATTCAAGCACAAGTACACATCTCTTCTGCAAGCTAACATCATTATTTTACTTCCAATAATGTATAAGCGGTAAATCTCATTTTTCTTCTGTAAAAGGAAAATTCAACTGAGAATACAGATGACTTGGAAAGAACCACACCAGAGCAGGAAATGGACTTGTTAACAGAAGATTTTGATACCAATCTAGATCTACAAAGCCCCCTCCAGAATTTTCCTACTTCTTTCAGAATCTCATCAACCAAGGTATTAGTTTCTTGTTCCTTTTCTCTTTCCTGATTAAACATAATAACAATGAGCATTGGAAACTTCAAAAAGCAGTTGATCTAGAGCTGGGGAGATGCTCAGTGCTTGCATGGCAAGTACAAGGTCTTGAGTTTGATCCCTGGTACCACCAAAAAAAAAAAAAAAAGCAGCTGATCTAAACAATACTCTAAACAATTTATTTCATTTAACATAATAGTTCAGCAAATATATTTTAAGACATTTCTTCAGGTATACTCCTTTATTTACAAAGAATGTGTTTGTAAAATTACTTCAGATTTTAGGAGTGTTATTGTCTTGTGTTGAATAGAAAGACAAACCAAAGCGAGTAAATGAGTAGTAATGAACAGTGTGTTCATTTCTCCACATTTCACTTTGGTTCTCCCCTCTCCCCTTTGCTCACTTTACCATGTTGCAAAGTTTTCTGCCAATTTTTCTGTTGGTCCAAAATCAGATGTGGTTGTGTGTGGTCTCTGTTGACTGAAAAATCTAAAGAATCTGTGGTCTATTTCAAGTTGCAGAGAAAATGAAATTGTGCCTTTCAAAATGTGGATTTCAGGAAGTTTCTCTAGCATAGTAGAAACACAGCTCTCAGTGGATGAGTAACTGGTGCCCCTCGATCAAAGGAACATATGCTAGAAACTTACCATATTAGGCTAATAAACAGGGTAGTAAAAGGCTAAGTTAATCAATTTACATGTAATCAGTCAAATTTTTTCTATGACTTACCTATTATATACTTTAGTATTATTTTCTACCTAGAAAAATGTCCCAGTGTTGTTTTAGAAAATGAAGGATGAACCAGACCTATTCACAAATTAAGTAGATCTAGAGTCCATAACAGGCAAAAATAATTTCAAATATATGAGTTTGCAACTTCTTCAGAATTAAGTTTATAATACTGATTAAGGTCACAGTTGTAGTGGTATTGGGTATAGGATTTATGAGTATGTGAAATTGTTTAAAAAGTGATAGAGTGGGCCAGCTCCATAGCTCAGTGGACTAAAGCATCTACTCAGGCAGAGCACAGTAGCCAGGATTCAATCCATGGCTTGCAGTACCAGCTCTGCCAGCAGGGCACACTGAGACAGCAATTGAGAACTAGCATCCTGTGTTGGCTGAGCAGAGAAGCTTGTAGTTAGAAAGGATTAATTGATACAAAAAGCCACTCATTGCCTTCCTTTCCCTTACTTCTAATTATTTCCTTTTTTTTAATCTATCACCAGATATCAGGATGTATTTTCTGCATACATGGTCATAACCACATAAGCTGTTTATACATTTCCTTTGTATGATATCTGGGACACTGGACTAATGCTCACTGATAGCTTCCTCTCAGAATAGAACAAATTCCCATTGTTGGCCTCTACAGATCCCTTTACTATGTTTTTTCTGTACTTATGATATATATATATATATATATTCTCTACAAAAGTAACCCTTTATTATCATAATAAATGTACCCTGTCCCATGGGAGGAGAAGTAGGGATGAAAAGTTAACTCAAACTTGTGTGTGTCAATGCCTATTCCAGATTACTTTTATTTCTCTGATATGATATGTGTGCTTATGCACCCAGGAAGTTTTGAAGACTATGTCTGAATAGGTTGAAAAACTTTCCCCCAAAGTAATTTAGATATAGGAGAAGATAACATTTAAATCATGATTCTCCAACATGGGTTCCTCCCTAAGTTCCAAACTACCCACCTCAATATTGTTTGCAAAAATGAATGAAGGGCAGCTTTCTTGAACTCCAATATTCACAATTATAAATTTTTTTGAAAAAACTCTTTGTTATTAGTTCAAATAATCCATTTCCCCCTATAGTTTCAGATGCAGAGCTACTTATCTATTTCAGATTAGTGGCTTTTGTAAAGAAAACACTTCTTTTGTCATTATACTGTCAGGACATTATTACTCTGTAATGACAATGACATACTGGATATATACATATCAAGGTAGCTCTAATTTATCCATGTATGTGTATGAGTACTACCTTAATTCCATAGTTATGAGTAATAATTCCTTCCTAAAATTTTGCTTACATAAATAATCAACATGATTAGTCTATTCCTAAGCAAAATTCTCAGATGCTCTGAAGTCTCCTTGGATCACCAAACCCTAGGGTGGAGCTTATCAGCCTACTCAACCCTATGCACCTAAATCTACCATGCAGTCAGAAAGTCTGGGATTCAGCCAGTTTCACCTAAGCCCTGCAAAGAGTGTCGGGCAATTATGACTGTGATTCAATATATATGAATAAGTATCTTGATTTAATTTAATATACATTCTCTGAAACATTTGCTGTATAATATAGGTCCTTTTCAATTTTCAGATTCAAAGTCAGGAAGAGACTATTGCCTTGGGTGTCTTAATGTACATCTCCCTATTCAAACATCAGGGAAAGCTTGACTCCTAAGTAGGATGTGATGGTAGAATATTTACTCAGGGGAAACAAACTATTAACACTTTATGAATTTCCAAGCAAAGATTATAATTTCAGCATGTGAATCCTGCTCTAGTAATCACTACTTAAAATTTAACTGGGTTTTCAAATGTGTAGCTCAAGGGCCCAGCAGAATAGCTCAGTGTATTAAGAGCCTACTTAGGCACATACCGGTGCTAGGGTTTCAATCCTCAGGCCTGCCAGGCCTGGCCCCCTCCCCAGCAGACTGACAAAGCCATTGAGACTGGGCATGGTGGAGCTCACCTGTAATCCCAGCACTTGGAAGGCTGTAAACAGGTGAATCACTATGAGTCCGATATACGTATTGAGACCCTGGACATCCTGTATACCCTGCCGAAAATACAAGGAAAAATAAATAAATAAATAAAGTAAAAAGACAGCTTAAAACATACCTTATGGAGAAATTTCATTGTTGTACAAGACAAAATTAGAAAGGCTTTTTAAAATGTATTTTGTTTATCACCTCCACATAAGATTTCCCTCAAAACAAACATAAACTATGAAATAAAAGAGTAGATACATAATTCCAAAATAAACTTTATAAAATAATGGCAATAAAATATTTCTGCACATTAAGAATTAGTCTGGAACCCTAAGAGAAGTTATGTGCTATGTCTGCCTGCCTGCCTGCGTGTGTGTGTGTGTGTGTGTGTGTGTGTGTGTGTGTGTGTCTCCTTAAATAGATATAGATACATAGATATATTGACTTAGTCTTTATAAAAATCACATGGAAAAGGTAATGATGGTCCCATTGTACATATGACAAAGCTCTGAAACATAGAAGTTAAAACATTTCAAAAGTTATACAAGCAGTGGAAATTAAATACATATTTGAAGTCCATCTATAGTGAACTTTAAATCTTATTTAATGCAATAGATTGAATCCAAGTTAGATGAACAAATGCTAAAATTTGTGCAATTCATTTCAAATGAGTTTAAATAGGCAGAATTCTGCTTTGGTACCTTGCAATGGTTGGAGACTTCCAGGTGAGGTACTTCAATAGGTGGCACTTTAAGATGCTACACCAGTGAAGGCCAAACTTGGAAATTCTGAAGAAAGTCAGATAAATATAATGAAATTTAATGAACTTCACCTTTGTATTTGAAGGCAGATGAGATAAGTAATTCCAGAGATACTCTCTAGTGTTACTTAGATAATGTAGTACGAGTAATATTTAAGTAGGATTTTAAACTCCTGTGAAGTCTGCAAGGTTCCATTTCCTTAAGTGACACCATAGACACAGGGAAAAAAAGCTGTGCAGGGGAATTTTCTATTATGTTCATGTTCACACTGACAATTGCTGATCTATGGAGGCAGCTGGGATGTCTCCATTCACTGGTTCACATGGTTCATGGTTGCCTCCACAATCCCTATTCTTGATTATCAGCCTATCAACCAATTCAAAGTACAATCCGAAATTCCAAACTACTACAGAGCTCTGCAAAGAAAGACATTCAAAGCAAATTTTGTTTAAACTTCACTTCCATTTTCATGACTCTCTTCCAAACCAGCTACTATTTAAGTTAAAGCATTTCTGATGTGGATATGTTCAGAATAGGAAAGTTCCTGAAGTTCTTCCAGTAGCTTCCTTAGTAACCAATATACAGCATAGTGGTGATTTGCTGGAAAGGGTTTGGATTTCAGTCATATAAATGGCCTCCATTGATTCAGAGTAGAAGCAGCTTATGTTGTTATTTGTCTTCATTTCTTCTATTAGCTAAGTAATAGGACATCAAACACTAATTTTTCCCAGCCCCCTGATAAAGGTACTCTTTGAGCATAAACACCAAGACTGAGATAGCTCTCATTAGACAGTCACTGTGTACTTCCTTAATTGTGCTTATGTTTTCTTGTGTACTGTCCAAGTAGAAGCCAAAAATGAAGCATGTACCCTACGAACCTTCTGAAGAAAATGGTTACCAGACAGAATGCAAAGAAATAGTGGTGCTGAAAGTGACAGAACCATTTATATATGATGTTAAAGAACCACAGAAAGTGATTATTCATGCCACAGTGGCTACAGAGGAGGAATTCTTTCGAGTGAAAATTTTTGACATGGCATTTAAGGACATGTTCATCCCCAAAAATGTCCTCTCCATATCACATTATGTTGGTCAAGATGGATTCCTGGAGATAAGCAATATCTCAACTGTGTCTTTCATACGTGCTGAACAAGGATGGAACATCTCCAGTACTCTGGTCCAACGTGCAAATGCAACTCCTAAAATCGAACATATTCTCTCGCTAAGTGAAGGCAAACATGTGAATGGGAGCTTCACAGTGCTTAAGGTAAGTAAAAGAGTGATTTTTAAAATTTCTTCTGCAACTAAAGATTTTAAAGTTGGAACCAGCCACCTGATTGATGGCCAATTTACTAAACACAGGAAACAAACTCCCACATTTGGAACAGGTGAGTGGTATCTTCTCACTTCAGCCTGTGGGATAGTCAGGCTCTTGTCATTCCTTTTCTCTAGTTATCTCCATGCAAGCTTAAGGATGAGATTCATGAAGAATCCTTAGTATTTGACCAGTTATGTTGATCAATTCATAGTCATCCTGGTAGAGGACAGTGCATTGCCCCATCTGCACATGTGACAACTAAATTGTGGATAAAAAGTTGCTTCCCAAAGCTGGCCTCTAGTTGTAATTCCAAGAATAAGAAATAAAATTGTTCCTCCATCCTAAAAAGCAACAATGTCCAGTGGTAAGCCAAAATTCGGATCATTGTACCCTAAGTTGCTCTCACTTCTTCCCACTTGTTACTTTTCAACAAGATAGTGTTGAACAACTGATTTCTTCACTAAGTAATGAAAGGAACATAAAAATGGAAGATACTGGAGCAGTGATGTCAAGCTGATGGAAAACAGGCACAGTGAGCACTCAGAGCCCTCTCTGCCAGTACCTGAGCCAAGTTACTTCAGTATCATTCTAGCAACCAAGCACTCTGGTTGAATTCCAGTGCTAGCACTTGGTGATAAATAATTGGGTTTCGGCTTCCAGCTTGGGCAGTGTCTAAAAGATACACCAATATTTTGCTTGAGAAATGTGCTACATCAGTTCATAAATAGGGACCATAAACTCAAAAGCAAAGAAATTTGGAAAACTTAGATTTAGAGTATGTCTTTCTGTCACAGTACACCCAGCACATAGTATTTTAATTGTTTTTTGAAAGTATTATTTCACATTGTATTGTCCTTAGAGTATTTTATTTTTTACTTTTACCTGTGTTATTTTCCATTTATTCTATTTAAATGATGGTATGTACATATTAAATTAGTAAAATGTCATAGCAACCAAAAATAATACTACAGGTGATCTAAATTTAATATTTGAATAGATTCAAGAAGAGTGAATATGATATTTACACATGTGGATCTGATTTATGTTTGTCTCCCTAGTGTATGACCTTGGAAGAGTAAATAAAATCTGAAAGGTAAAATAGATGCTGTGAAAAAGAAAGGTACACCCAGAAAGAATGGCTATCATAAAGAAATCACCCAACAACAAATGTTGGAGAGGCTATGGGGAAAAAGGAACCCTTCTCCACTGCTGGTGGGAATGTAGACTGGTGCAACCGTTATGGAAATCAGTATGGAAAAGCCTTAGAAAAGCTGGGCTGGAAATCCCATTCAAACCAGCTATTCCTCTACTGGGAATTTTCCCGGAGAATCTGAAAACATCATATCATAGTGATATATGTGTGCCTATGTTTATAGCAGCACAATGTGTGATAACCAAATCTTGGAAACAACCAAGATGCCCATCACCTGAAGAATGGTTGAAAAGGATGTGGTATTTTTACACAATGGAGTATTATTCAGCTATTAAGAATGATAAACTGCAAGCCTTTATATTGAAGTGGATGCCACTTGAAGATATACTCATAAATGAAATAAACCTGACACACATGTGTAAATATCATATAGTTTCCCTAATATAAGAACTCAAAAGAAGAAATACAAATAGAAAGGTGTAATACAAGTAAAAAGGAAAGCAGGATCTCAAGGACTAACTAATCAAGAGAGGGAAAGGAGAAGAGCTAGGAAACATGAATAAGTCAAGCTACACAGTTATATTTAGAAGATGGGCAAAGCAATGGTCCTGAGAATCTCCAGAAGATTTTTGAATCTAGCAGTTAATTGGAAAAATTCTCACCCTGACTAACTATATATACTGATACCTGTGAACTAAGCTACTGTACTGCAGATGGTAATTTGTAGTAGCAGTTTCATGCTTGGAGAGCCTGTCATTTTGGTCTTCTGAATATGGGCTGTTTGTCATGACATGCCAGTTGCTGCTATGATGTCTCTTTGGTATATGTTCAAAAAGTAGGGTGCGGTGAATGAAAGCAAGAGACAGGAAAAGGAATATTGTGGGACTGTCCTGCTTCAAGGTTGTATATGGTGAGATTTTTGGACTTATGTGTAAACATAAGAAGTATACAATTCTTTATGGCTATTTTTAAAACATATTCTAATTTTTAAATGTTTTTTATTATATTCTGTAGGGACTTCAAATTCAACATATCATTACTTGATGAAAAATACCTGTTCCATATTATGCCTAAGATGTTTGATATGCAGACAGATAGTGAGATTAAGCTTAACAGCCTAACTTGTATGGTAATAACAATAAGCTTGTCTTCTGGATGGTTAACAACCTAAGTTTGCAGACCAAAATTAGAGAAAAAGGAGGACCTCCCAGAAAGCCAACATTTTGGCCCTAGCCTTCTAAGGCCAATTAAGACTCAGGACATATGAGAAATTGTACTGCAATGTCATGTAACTCAGTAGTGTCCCAAATTTTCTGATCAAGATTATCAGTCCAAAGAGGAAAGTGATCAATTATGTAGAGTGTGCCTGAGGAGAGTCACATGGAGAGAAAACATTCTCTCAGGCTTTCACAGAGAGCACATTGGCCAAGCAATGGCCATGAATCATCCACATGGCTGACACTGACAAAAGTTCTACAATCTGAGGTACAGGATCTCAGGATAAATCCTGAGGGGATTTCACTGACCTTATCAGACCCAAAAGCTACAACTCTTGTTACATAGGTCCTGTTTACTTTGGTCTTAACCATTCAGCAGAAAAGTATATAAACGAAATATAAGAAGTAAAGCCATGCAGTTATGTTGAGCTGTAGGGGACTCAGGTCAACAATTTCTGACATTGCCAGTCAAGCAGAAGACCCAATACTATTTTTGGGCTACTGGACTTTTTCAGAATATTTTGCTGAATTTACACACCTATAATATTCAAATAACTGAACTTAACAACTAAAAGGGTATGCAGATGAATGTCCATTTTGCATCTGTGTATTCAAATGGCTAGGATCGATGTACAGTTACATTCTCTTAATGAATAGAGGGATTTGTTCTAATGGTGTTTGTAAATAGGATATCATGTCCGCATCTTGTACAGCAATTAACCACTAGGAAGAATGTATGCAATGTGTTAATTATTGAAACTGTCTTACCAGTTTGGTTTGAAATTGTCTCATTGCTATTTGTTTCGCATTTAATTTATGGAAAAAAAATTTTTAAAAGAGAGAAAAAAGAAAGGTACTGTCCAAGAGAAGTAACTACTGGGATGAGGACAAGAGGAAAGAAAGAAAGAAGAAATAAAAAAATACATATTTAGGATGGCTTGGATAATTGTACTCACAATTTCTACTAGTCTATTGAAAGGAACACTTGAAGTTTACTTACATTTTACTTCTTTCTTAATTTTGTGATTCACTTTTCATTCTTATGTCTAGTAATCAGAACAATTAAGTTAAAGACAACAATATGCACTATAATAACCATTGTTCAATTCTTAATCATTTTGTTAAGTGAAATTCTGTATCATTTCTAATGCTTTCTTAATAATTTTTATTCTTTTTAAAAATAAAAATTGAGAGCTGGCCAAATAGCTCAGCAGATTAAAGCACCTGCAAGCAGCTCCAAGGGCCGGGGGTTCCATCCTCTGGCCTGCTGTGCTGGACCGACCCATGGGTGAGACAGCATTTGAGACGGGGCATGATGGTTCACACCTGTAATCCCAGCTTTTGGAAGTCTGTAAACAGGCAGATCACTACAAGTTTGAACTATTAATGAGACCCTGAGCATCCTGTAGATCCTTCCTTAAAAAATACAAAAACAAAAATTAATTAATTAATTAATTAAAAATTCAGTTTTTAAAACACAATTGAATAAATGAAGAAGATAGAACAATTTGTGATTGAAATAGCATAATCCACATATTGAAAATTCTCAGTCTCCAGTGGGTTGGAAACTGTCTTCATTTTTTGTTCTCATGGAGACACCAATAAATCAATAGATCAAATTAATCAGATTACTGTCTATATTTCTTTGAAAATGTCAAATATGTTGATTTGTAACCAATACATATTAGAAAGACAATTCTTCTAGAAAATTTGCACAGATAAAGATTATAGGTAAGGAGAGTTTCAAAAAGGTTTCAAATGAGAGGGTTTTCTGACTGTAATAACTTTCCCAATTTGATATCTCTAATCTTGAATTTGCAGTTCCATTTATATTGTTGGACATCTGCATTTCCACTAATGTCTTCTATTTCTCAAATCAGGGAACATATCTGATACACTTATAAGAAGATCTAAGTGATATTCTTTTGCAGAAAACTGTGAGGGGAGAATGCATTTTTTATGAAATACAAGATAATACAGGAAAGATGGAAGTCATGGTTTGTGGACGACTGGCGAGTATCTACTGTGAGGAAGGAGATAAACTTTACCTGACTGGCTTTGCTGTATCCTCAAGTGAGGGTGGCTGCCAGCTGAGATCTGTACTCCATAGTCATCTCAGGGTGAGCATTCCAGGGGACTGGTGTTCTTCCAAGGGGAAACTCCCATATTTCCCCTTGTGCTTTAGAAATCTAGACTGCTACTTTAAACACAACTCAAAAAGCTAGTGAAAATTACCTTTGGCTTTTCTGCTAAGTAAACTAACTTTGTCGTCATCTTCTGTTTAATAAGGGTTTCTAAGTCATAGTGAGAAAAATTTCAGAGACATTCAAAGCTCTTTGCCCTAAATTAAATAAAATTCATTAATCAAAACAAAAGATACGTGAATTTAATCTATTCCTACAAAATTAATCATAATTTTGTAGTTCTCTGGCAGTTCCTTGTGATAGTTTATAGAATAGGCCTGTGTAAACTACTGGAAGTTCTTCCATGGAGAGGTCAATCTTTTCAAACCCTTTCTGGGTCCATATAGCAGAATCCAAGCCAATCTGCTGGTGATGAGAGTTGTATTTTCAGTCCTGATCAGGTCATTGGGATCCATCAACTCACATCTTAAGCATTAATGTTGGCAAAAGTTTGTTGGGAATGAACTTGGCAGCAGATGATATACATATCTAACTTCTCAAAAAGATTGTTGTGCTATTAAATTCACATTTCACAACAACCCTAAATTAGCAAGGATGGTCTAAGAATATCACAACACAAGAGAAACTGCTTTCAGAGAACTACAGCAAGACAAAGCTGCAGTCTATCTTGTACAAATATACACATTCATGTGTATTCATAAAACACCAAAGCTGTTAAGATTGGAATTTAAATCAAACAAAGATTAAATGTAACTGATCACCTAATAAGGCACACATAAATGTACCTGCTCCTAGATTCTCAAGGTCTAGTTTCACCCCCAGGAAAATCCTCCAAACTTTCTCTCACAGTAGATACAGCAAGAAGTGCTTTTGCTTCTCCACTCTCTCTCCTGACTAAGGTGAATCCACCACTCTGCCTATTTGGGCTGCACCAGTCCATCACCTCATGTCCACTGTCCTTCTCCTCCACCTGTGCTCTTGCTAGGATGGAGTAATCACTAGATTTACTGGTTCTGAGAAAGGGGCATTGTGTGACTCCAAAGACAGGTATTCAGGAAAGGATACATGGGGAGGACAAGAAAGGAGATGTGGTCCATGATTGTGTAAGTTAAGTCTCATCATTACTTTGTAAAATTAGCTCACAATCCTAGATTTTGAGTGAAGGGAATATGTGTTAGCAGATGCACCCCAACTGATCTATCTTTATCACTTTCTTCTTTAAGGTCATCAAACCCCAGAAATCAAATGATGAAACCACTCAACCCTGATTCAAATGTTTAAATTTACTGAAGTCCTGAAAGCCTGGATTCTGCTGTTAATGATGCTGCTGGAGATAAAATGCAAGTTTAAGAAGAAATTATATAAGATCCAAGATTAAGAAAAAATGTATAAGATACAAGTTTAGGAAGAAAGTATATAAATAAACAAGCTCTAAGCTGATTATCATGGTTTTATTATTGAAATATCAGCATTTGGGGAAGTCAATGCTGAATGGTCAGAATTTTAAACCCAGAGAAGTGTCTTGCTAAGTTAGAGACTCAGAATATCCTGTCTCAAAAACAACAACAACAACAAAACCCTGAGTCAATTCATAGTACAACAACAAAAACCAGATAAACAAAAAGAAAAATCAAAATATATGATCAGAAACAAAAGAAGAAAATAAATCAAAAACAAAAAAGGGGGAAAATGGGAAGGCCGGGGAGATGGCTCAGTAGAATAGGTGCTTCCCTGGCAAGTGCAAAAGCCTGAGTTTAATCCATGGTTCTGCTAAAAAAAATTAAAAAAGAAAAGAAAAACAAGCAAAATCAGTTATAATAAATAGATTTGTAGAAATGTTGTTTACATTATTGCTTCTTCAGTGCTTTCCTGCTTGCTGAATCCATATTTTGAGATTATTGCTTTGATGGTTTGAAAATAATAAACATTTCTTCTTAAAGAAGTGTTTTTGAGGCTTCTTTTTACTCTGTATTTCATTTTCTGTTAAGGAAATACATTATAGTCCATAATCAGGGTGGTGCACACAAACTAAAACCAATATTTCAATTTATATTTTGAGCATAATCTTTAAGGGCTAGGCTAAGTGATGCATGAACAAGCTGTGTGTCATTTAGAGAAACCAAGATAAGGGGCAGGTGGGTGAGGAGACCCAATCCAAGCCTCAGTGGATGGGACCTGTTTCCTGAAAGGTTTAAAACGGTCAGGATAGGTAAATCTTTTTCAGAATTTTTCTCCTGGAGAGGACATAATGGGTACCTTGTCTGCCAGATGAGTGCCTTCTGATGATTTGTAAGAATGTACCAGATGGGGCCGGAGAGATGTCTCAGTGGAATAAGCACTTCCCTGGCAAGTGCAAGGGCCTGAGTTCAATCCCTGGTTCCACCAAAAAAAAAAAAAAAAAAAAAAAAAAAGCGGTTGATCCATTTAAAAAAAAAAAAGAATGTACCAGAGTGTAAGGAGAAATTAAGGCCCTGTCTGTTGTCAAATATCTGATTCTACTCCTGTACTCAAACACCAGTGGCTCCACAGTAGCTCTCCTACCACTAATATTAAATAGCACTCACATTCCACATGTGTGGATCCATCAGGACACTATCTCAGGGACATCTCCTTTACGCAAAAACTGCAGCTAATTTTCAGTGAAATAATCAGACATGTAGAATCAAAATGCATATTAAATTTGCTAATCACATATATTATCTCATATTTTACAATTATTTATTTCAGTCTGTCCTCAAGTTATTTCTAAAAGTTCTTTCTCTTTTTCTTTTTTCTTTCAGTTTGTTTGTTTTTTGTTTTGGTTTGCTTTTTATTCTATAATAGTTGAAAACAAAGAAATAGAAATGTAAAATCTGTTTCTTAATTATCTTTAGATGGTAAATTAGAACTTGATTAAGAATATTTACTATTCAAATTTGAGATCAATGGCTTATAGGACACAATATGAAGTTGAAGAGAAATTTTGATGAATAGAATAGAGAATTTAGCAGCACTTTAAGGAAACAAAGAGTGACTTTCATGAGTGCAGTCCCCAGTTAAAGAACAAATGTTTGCAAGATATGTGCCACAACAGCAGACACAATGGAGCTAATTCAGAGGACAAGAGACAGAGATGGCAAGAGCCACCATCATCTTTATTATATAATTATTATACAGGTTGTTATCACATATTTACTCTCTTCAATAGTGCTGCAAAAGTGCATTCATGATTACCTTTGCTAAATTATGATTGCATAACTGTGTCTGTCTACATACACATGCACCAGACAAGACGCGCCACACTCTCAGGCATCCTTATGTGTCACTTAGGTTTGAAACACTGAGTGGTTACACTGAGAATTGTAATATTGTAAAGAATCCACGGTATTCATTTGCAACTTACCTAAGAAAGAAAGCACTAATATTCTACTATTACGTTCTGAGGCATAAGGTACATGATGTATTGCAATGTATGATATCCTTTCTATGTTTATGACTTATTATAGTAGGTTTAGAGGCTAACAAGTCTATATGGACTGTTTTTGAATTTTCTTGTCTTATAAAATTCTAATAACATATATTCATATATTTATTTATATATGTGTAGTCATATACATAGAAAAATATATGTGAATGCACTGTATAACTTGTAAATATATCATAGAAAATCATTTTTTGACTGGCTCAGCCCCCACTGAAGTTGGGGCTGGTGTGGCATGTGGTACCAGGGATCTCACTGCAGTCTCCTGCATCTGCCTAAGACTGCCTAAGCAAGCCATTTACACCGCTGGGCTCTCTCACCGCCCCTAATATTTCTAATTAAAGATTATTTTGGTTACATGAGGAACCACATCCTGAAGTAAATATAGGTAACTGGTGCTCCTTTGATAAATTTTTTCATACTATTTTCTTTTTCATTTCTCCTCATTTAGATAATATTTTGTTAGCAACTTAGAAGTAGAGATTTGAGGTCACATTTGATAATTTGTTATATTCTTGGCTCGATCCTCTAAATACATACTATAATTTCATACTTTGATCTGTTTTTACTGACTTTCTTGAAGTTTTCACATTTTTATATATTTTCCTCATATTATTTTATACTTACATTTGTATTTAGGCTGTAAGACAAAAAAAAATCTGTGAAGTATTCTATTCTTTTTCCTAATGTCTGATACCATTTTAATATTTCTTACTTCGTTCTTTTTCTATATCATCAGAGAAAGCTTTTGAAACATAGGCACCTATAGTCATTTCTTTTCTTTGACTTACCTTCAGCTTGCAGGATATTCAGCTTTGCATATTTTTTTTTAATGATGAAAAATTTTATTCTGCATCAGGGTATCTGGAAAATGAAGCTGCACTTGGGGCACTTTATAGATGAGGAATGATCCATATATGGTGAGTACAAGACCCAATTACAGAATTATCTCTTAGCTAGTACCAGATACTCCAAATTACCAATGCTAAAGTGAAAGGAAAACATGATTTGCCACACTAAAAGGATAGAAGTGAAAAATATGGCAGATATTTTATATGAGCAGATATAAATGCAGCACCTACCTGTATTTTTTTTTAAACAGGTATTAGAAAAATCAAATTTTAAGAAAGAGCTCTGGCCTTAATTAAGCACATCTCACCTGAAATCCAACAAGAAAGCCAGACCATGATTTTTCAGCAATTTAAATTCATTGTATGAAAAAAGAAAAATGTTAGGTGAATTCAGTGACACAAAAGGGCACTTTTTGGCTAAAACTACAAAATAAACTGGTTTTCTGAAAATATTTAGGAAAATGACTTTCAAAATGTCTAATTGATATTGCTGATCTTCAGAAAAACTGAGTCTGCATGAACAACTAGTCTATGTAGAAATTCATCTTGAAATACAAATGAGGCAGTGTGTTTTAAAGGGTTATATAATGCCCTTCAGATCAGTGTAATGAGATGACTGTGATCATCTTATGAAGGTAAGGAACACAAAAACAATTCAGAGAGCAGCGTGGCTTCCAAGACCACCCACACAACTGTACAATCCTGGTCTTTGCCATCAAGTTAAGGAATTGGTAAATGAGTTTAGTTTCAAAGCTAAGGTGTTCTCAATCATTCACGTTGCATTCCCAAAACATTTATATTGAGTCCTCTATCTTCTGACTTACTTTCAGGTAACTGGGCACAGAGTGTACAGAAACCCTGTTACATTCTATGTAATACTTTGAGTGGACTTAAAAATAAATCATTCATTGCTTAAAAATAGATTGGCATTGCTTATTACAGTGCCAGGCACAAAGAAATGTAGCCTTTTGTTACTTTAAACATTGTCGGTATTCTGTTATTCACATATCAATTCTTTTGGAGTTTGCTCAAGTGCAGACTAACTGGTCTGAAGGTTACTGGCAAACTAAGCGTCCTGTAAGACAAGCTGAAGCTTGCTTTCTGCCTCTTTGAAGTCCTACATCTTTATCAGTACACTTTCTTCAGGTAGATAGTGAAAGCACAAAGCATTTATGTAGCTAATCAAAACACCTGAAGTCTCCTAAAGCCATTTAATCTAGGTGTTCCAAAATCTCCTGCCACCACTTTGCTGTTAGTACCACCAAAAACATTTCAACTATACACAAAGTAATAAGTGGCATTGCTGCTCTCCAAATATAGGCACTGCTCTATATCTTTGAACATTTATTGTATTTTCAACTAATAACTGTGTCAGAAGTCTCAAAAAACCTGAAATTTTCCAGCTTTACTGTCACCAGCCAGAAGTAAAATTTCTTTTTCACTTATTTGCCTGTTAGCTGACAGCTGTTAAATTTTACATTTTTTTAAAAAACAGTTGGGACTTTTATCTTTATAAAGTATATAAAATTTTCAAAAAAAGAATTTTGCTTTTCACTGTATTACTGAATACCTGAGGTAGTTGAGTAAAAATGCACATTTAATACCCCTGCCAACACCATTCAGCACTTCCCTTAGATGTGTTAGTGTTAAGATTACAAATAAAACAGTTTTTCTATGCTAATGGCTTAACATCTCAAGTTCCTGTGACAATTCTATTCTGATCCAATTTTAACAATTGGATTGAGGAAGCAATCTTTTTAATTTATTTGATGAATTTAGTGAATGCACCACTTAAGCCTATTTCTGGCACTATGGGGGAATACTAAGAAAAATTAGAATATTCATTATACTGTGAGACTACAGCAAAGGGAAGTGCAGAGCTCTTCTTTCTCCCCCTTATTTTTCTTTTTCTTCTTCTTCTTTTTTTTTTTTTTCTTTTTAAAGCTGGGTGTCAAACATTTCAGAGAGCATAAGTATACATTCTCACAGAGACAGGAGTTCAAAAGTTGCCTGGTCCTCAGAAACAACTGGCTAGGTAACGACTTGTGCATGTGGTTCTGGATGGGGCAAAGTCCGTCTGTTGGTTAAGCAATCTGTCTTTGGTTTGGCCTCTGCCTCTGTGGTGGGCTTGTCCTGAGCCTTCACTTCCGCCTTGACTGAGGTGGTCCACTTTGCAGAGCCTTCTGCTGTTGGTGCTGCTTTACCTGAGTCAGAATTTCCTGAATTTTTCTCTGGGCAACCTGGCAAGCATAGAAGTGACCAGTTATTTTGACAACCACTTGGTCATTCTCATCAGGTGTCTGGTCACGAGGGACAACAACCTCAGCACTTGACAGATTCTGGAGTTCATTCACCGTTTTGCCTCCTTTTCCAATAACTCTGCCAGCAGCAAAGGATGGCACTCTGATATGAGCTTCAAGTTTCACTTCTTCTTTAGGACTAACAAAATTTTCTTCTTTAATTTTTCCATAAATTCTTCCCTGAGCCTTGAACTGAGCCTCTGGTGGTCCAGTGATGATCACCATCCTCACTTTAGCATTAGGCGCTTCAGCTGGAGCAATCTTAATTGAAGCTCCTGCAAAGCGAGAAAGCTGTTTGATGTGCTGGCCCTGCTTGCCGATAATGGTGCCAACTGATAGGGCTGGGATGAACAGATGCACAGTCTCCGTTTCTGATTGCTCAAACTGTGGGTAGGGAGGCGTCATTGCTGAAGGGGGCCCTGAGGTGGGAGGTGGCATCCCTGAAGTGGGTGGGAACAGACCCAAGGCATTCAGATTTAAACCAGGAATTAAATG